GTGCACAGTAGGCTATACCATCCAGGTTTGTGTTACGTATACTCTGTGATGTTTGCACAATGATAAAGTCACCTAACAATGCAATTTTCAGAATGTATCCCTTTGCTTAAGTGATGCATGACTGAAAAAGAGAAATTATTCAGAAAACTCTCAAAGAGTTGGTCAGTTTGCCTTTTTCTATCTTACCTCCTTTTATAAGCATTTATTTTATCTTATATATTACATTAGATCTTGGCAAGTCAAAAGACAAATATGAAAATAATCCCTTCTTTCAGGGAGCTAACAGTCTAGTAGGAAAGACAGACATATAAACCAATAGTTACAAAATAACGTGATCAGTGCTGCTATGGAGTATGTTCAAGATGTCATAGGAAAAGAAAAGAGAGAGCAGTTAACTACTTGTGCTTAAGATATGGTTTTGCAGTGGAGATGGCACCTAAATAGACGAGAGGGAAGGGAAGTAGTATAAGCAAGTAAACATTCCTTCATTTATTCAATAATCTGAGTGTCTACTATGTGCAAATCTAGGGATACAGCAATGAGTAAGAGAAACTGTTCCTGTCCTCATGATGCTTACATTATAGCAGGAGATACATAGTTGATTACTAGCTTTTAATACATAATTATTTAATTGCAAGTGGGACAGGTGCTACAAAACAGATACAAGGGGCTAAGAGAATCTAAGGGGAGCTGACTGAGTGTTGAGAGGGTGGTGGAAAGTAATGGCTAGGGCTGGCTTCTCTGAGGAAGTAACGTTTAAAGTGAAATCTGGAGGATCAATAAGATTTCACTTAGGTAAAGGAGAAGTGGAAGAGCTTTCTAGATAGAAGCAACACCATAAGCAGAAGTTACAATGGAAAGAATGGAATGGGTAAGAGCAGAAAGCCTGTTAGATAGTTACTGTAGAGTCCAGGTTAAGAGATCTTCACAGTTTGGACCAGGGTGGGTGTGTGGAAACAGACAGAAGTAGACAGATAATTGATTGCATATGGGAGAGAACAAGAAAGTGAGAACCTTTCAAGTAGGATGCACAGATTTTTTGCCTAGGCAACTAGGTGAATAGTTGTAACATTCACTGACCAATTCAGTTTCAGATGTGTTGAGTTTGATATGCCAATGAAATATTCTAGCTGCAATGTAAAGGAAACAGTCTCCCCCAGCAAAATGGCTGGATTTGATTCTTTTTCTTTTTTAAAAGATAGGGTCTCACTCTGTCTGGTGTGATCACAGCTCACTGCAACCTCAAACTTCTGGCCTGAAGTGATCCTCCTCCTCAGCCTCTTGAGTAGCTAAGACTACAGGCAAGCACCACCATGCCCAGCTATCATTTCTATGATTCTCTTGTGAGACATGAATTTAAGCCACCACACCCAGCTACCATTCCTATGATTCTATTGTGAGACATAAATTTAAACTTAACTCAAAATGAGGGCTTATTTTCATTCTAATGTTAAACCTATGAATGCAATTTGGGATTATCCATTTCGAACTCAAGTACTTGCTAAGTCAGCAAAAAGTATATATGGCCCTTTTTCCTTTGAATTTTGCAAGCTGAGCATCTGAAACGTTTCTTCAGCCAAACTTTTACCCTCTACTCTTTGCTCATCATTCAACTCTACCCTTCCTTGTGATCAAAGTAAACAGCAAATTATAAATTAAGAGCTTTATAGTAATTAGTTATTACTCTTTAATGACTTGAAATACCATATATCAGATATTTCATTTGGGACAGATATACAAGATAGGATCCTTATAATTCATATAACTTGCTTAAAAAGATATTGACCATGTTTTCTTCCTAAGAATTCCTAGGTACAATATATTCTTAAGAAGATTATCTTGGCTGGGCATGGTATATCATGCCTATTGTAATCCCAGCACCTTGGGAAGTGAGGCAGGAGGGTTGCTTGAGCACAGGAGTTCGAGACCAGACTGGGCAACACAAGAAGACCCCACCTCTACAAAGAATAAGAAAAATTAGCCGGGTGTGGTGTGTGCACTTATAGTCCTAGCTACTTGGGAGGCTAAGGCAGGAGGATTGCTTGAGCTCAGGAATTCAAGGCTGCAATGAGCTATGATTATGCCACTGCACTCCAGTCTGGGTGAGAGAATGCAGCCCTATTTCTAGGAGGTAGGGAAAGAATAAGGCATATGTATTAAAATATTATATAGTCATGAATTCCAATGTGCAGATTACCTTGAATAGATCTGAAAGTAGAGTGGGGGACCTACAGCTCTGTTTGTGATGCTTTGTTTCATTTAAAACAAAAGGTACATCACGCCTGTAATCCTAGCACTCTGGGAGGCTGAGGCAGGCGGATTGCTCAAGGTCAGGAGTTCAAGACCAGCCTGAGCAAGAGCGAGACCCCATCTCTACTATAAATAGAAAGAAATTAATTGGCCAACTAATATATATAGAAAAAATTAGCCGGGCATGGTGGTGCATGCCTGTAGTCCCAGCTACTCGGGAGGCTGAGGCAGCAGGACTGCTTGAGCCCAGGAGTTTGAGGTTGCTGTGAGCTAGGCTGACGCCACTCTAGCCTGGGCGACAAAGCGAGACGCTGTCTCAAAAAAAAAAAAAGCTACAGATTGGAAGCAGATATGTCAATATTTACATATGTTAGTTCTGAGTGATTAGTATATGACTGTTTATGGTATTGTTCATTCTGTTTATGATGCTTCCGTTTTTTCATAAAAATCTTCAGAATCAGCAAACAATTCATAAAAAGCAATTAATTCAGAAATAATTTCATTTGTCTCTTGTATTTATTTTCTATTTTATTTGTACTGAATTCATATACATGGTATTTTTTAATTTAACAAAGTTCATTGCTCTGGGTACTTAATTTATATATGAAATTATTGACCTTTATTCTAAGCAACATTTTTGCTTATTAGAGGAATGACTGATATTACAGAATGTGATGACTCACTGGAGTGGGATTTTTGCTAAACGCAAAGCAAAGCTTTATACTTTTAGGTGGGAATAAATTATAGCTTCATATAAATGCACTTACTAATAAATCACAGAGGAAATTAGGGGCAGTAAATCTATGACCCAAATGCAGATTAGTTTAATGGGATGCTTTTCAGAGTGCAAGCAAATCCTTTTAGATTTGTAGCAATAAAAAATGCTATGTGGTATTCAACCATCAAAACATAAGCCTTTGCATTTGTTCTTCAGAGTAAAACTTTTGCCACTTACATATAATAACCTCAGAGGCAAGGGATAAAGAAATTATCAAAGACAGATCAAGGAAGCTGATAATTACTTTAAAGATGAATGTTTTACAGATAGAGGGAAAAGCTACCATGGATATCTTACTATTAACACATTCAAATGATTAAAATGATTAAAAGAAAGAAAGCACATCAAATGTGGCACTTAGTTCCAAATGACTTTGAATTCATATTGTAGGAAAAACATACTTTTGGACACCATTCTGATTTCTCACAGAATAATTTATACTTTGAAATATCTTACTAATTTAAGAAGACTAAGTATTATAATCTATTCACATTCTTATCTATTTTTCCATTGCCTCATTTAAACACTGTTTTCCTTAACACCTTTCTATTAATTTGCTACATAAGCAGCTGAGGAATTATTTTTTATACTGCTGTTTGTTGACTATTTTAGTCAAATGCTTTTCTAGGCTCTTCCAGGTTTCATGAAGATAACTAACAGTTGTGTTCTACTTAATATCTATAGTACCATCTTCACCAAAGATGATGCTAGACATCCACAGTATTAACTTACAGAAAAGTGGCATCTCTGATTATTTTGGTATTAAGTAACAGTTTAGTAAAATAACCACATTGTGCTCTGCAAAGAATCGAAGTCAAAGTGCCAAGTGCTTTAGGCATCTGTCCTTACAAAAAGCACCATGCTATCCCTTCCCTGGAGCAAGCCCAGGCTGGAAAGGGTTTACTGTGATACAGAAATACCACCAAGGGTCCAGTATGATCCATAACATTTCTGATGCAGATCAAAACTAAGTTATGTGGTTTTTCTTTTGGGGAGACAGTATGGCAGGTGGGAAAAAGCATGCAAGAGAGTAAAAATGATCTGGATTTAACTTCTGAGCCTCACTGGATAACTTTGGGCAAATTACTTAACTTCTGGGATATATAAGAATTCTCACTGGGTACATGTAAACATGTATGTGAAATAATATACATAAAGTACCAAGCAGGCATCTACTAAATATTAATTTCTTTCCCTTAGATTATCAGGTCATAAAGGAGTCTTTCTGTCTTTTGACACTACCTTTAAAATACTCAAAAAGAACTACACCTATCACAGTGTCACAGTCCACCTTTAATCATTTCTGTATCTATCATGCCTGAGTTCTGATTTGTCCCCTTTGTAAATTATGTAATCACAGTTGATGGAGATCTAAAATACTATCCAAGCTTGTAAGAACCCTTCCTAAATAATCTGAAAACTATGACCTACTTAATTTCTAAAAATCTATAAAGAAGACTTGTAATCACCACTGGTAACTCATTACATTAATTCACATTCCTTATAAACAAATCCCTACTCATGTTTAAGTGATATATTTAAGTTTCATTCCATCTTTATATTGTTTGTGAAAATGACAAATGACAAGCCTATCATATAAGATCCCTTGAAATATGAAAACTGTCACCAGGCTCTTTCCATCAGGCTCCTCTCAGGCAAACAAAGTAATCACTGTTTATCAAAGCTTCTATGTATTGACGCAAACCCGCAATTCAGCTTAATAGTAGGCAACTAAAACAGGCTTTGAGGGTCTACTGTCTACATTTATTAGCTGTGGGAACCTTGGGTAAATAACTTAATTTCTGTGAGCTTCAGTTTCCATATCTGTAAAATGAAGACAACATTGTATTAATATTTCTTATAAAACTGCTTACAGGATAAATGAAGTAATATTGAGAGTCAAAATAGAGTCACTATCTTTTTCTTAATAAAAGGCTAAAGAGTGAATGAAGAGGAAAAGAAAAACACATACCATGTTCACTGCATCTTGATCAAAAGGGTTCCATTCTATATTCTGAGGATAGTGGGCGAGAACTTTGGATTTGAATGTTCTTCTCAAAGGACTCTGGTCAAAATTTTCACCTACAACAAATAATTAATATTTAGTTAATATATAGAACTTTTTTAAAAGCATGTCATAGTTTTATATTTACTTTATAGATATACTGGCTGATAATACAGTAATCTAACAAAAATAAAAATTAAAAAAAAAGAAAAAGAAATGGACTAGGGAAAAAATTTTAAAAAATAAAGAAATCTGATTCAATTTCTACCTCTAACAGTCTGAGTTGTAAAATTTCCAATGGACAACTAACTAAAACTTAATAAGAGATCTACACTTAAAACTTTAGAATCTGAATTTTAAAATCCTGGCTAGACAATTGATATTTAAAAACAAGATGTGATAATATAATTATCACTGTAACTTAATTATTGTCCTCATTTCAATATGTGGTAATAAAAACCTATATGAAAACATTTAATTAACCAAAGAAACATCTTGAATTAAGTTAATCACACTTCTTATGATTCTGAAATGTTATACACAGACTTAGAGCTGCAGTGCTCAAAGAAGGCAATTTTGCTTAAATTTCCACAAAAATCTCTGATAAGTTCGACTGCATATCCAGGTTCTTAAGTAACAGAATTAAAGAATTAGAAACATCATTGCTGAGCTGTCTAGTTTAGTAGGCAGAACACATTAAACACAGTAACCTTTTAAAACAAATGAGCTATTATAAGCCAAATTTATTACCTGTCAAAATTCTGGAAAGATAAAAGTAGGCTATCCTTTATTATATTAATACATAAGAGGCCAGGCGCAGTGGCTCAGCCTATAATCCCAGCACTCTAGGAGGCAGAGGTGGGTGGACTGCTCAAGGTCAGGAGTTCAAAACCAGCCTGAGCAAGAGCGAGACCCCATCTCTACTATAAATAGAAAGAAATTAATTGGCCAACTAATATATATAGAAAAAATTAGCTGGGCATGGTGGCACATGCCTGTAGTCCCAGCTACTTGGGAGGCTGAGGCAGCAGGATTGTTTGAGCCCAGGAGTTTGAGGTTGCTGTGAGCTAGGCTGACGCCACGGCACTCACTCTAACCTGGGCAACAAAGCGAGACTGTCTCAAAAAAAAAGAAAAAAAATACATAAGAAATTTAACAATAGCTGTCAGATCAGTATATTATTTCCTTGACCAAATTAATTCCCGTACGACCTGTTATCTCCAAATGCTTTAGTTTCATAATATATTTTAATGTAGATGGATCTTAAATTCCCAATGTCAAAAAGTTGGGATCATGAAATTAGAAGATCTTGAAGCAATTTCATTGTCTCCTGTGTTTTTCTACTTTTTAAGTCCTAATTAAGTGCAAAATACTAGCTGTTATAGCAAAAGATAAATGCCACTTACTAGTATTTGTACAATTGAAAATATCACAAAGCAATCTGATTTCTGAGTCACATTTTGAAATCTAATTAGACTCAGTTTCTATTTTGGGTAAAAATATGAAAAGATAGATACTAAAACACCTCTGAGTGCAAAAGTTAACAGATCACAGGAGGGAAAAGTCACACTCAAAAATCTTGCTAGAAACTGCAATATAAAATATGCAGAATTTTAATAAGAACACATAATTTAAACATATTTGCTGAGGCAACTAAGCTACTGTTTCTCATTGAAGTCCTTGGCTGATGATCATTTTCCTTTAGATTCCTCTGACTTATTTAGGCAAATACTCCATCTCTATCTTTCTACCTCACACACTTGCATCTACTAACAGTTGAGAGCTTTCACCTCTAGAAGAGAAACAGCCAATGCAGCTGAAGATTCAAGTTTCAGAACTGTTGACTTGAGGAAGGATAAATGGTGTCTTTAAGCTGATACTAGATTTTCATGTAAACATTAAGAATTTTTAGATTATTTACTTTTTTATTTTTTAAAAAAAGGTTGTATTTCACTTCACTTGAGGTCCAAGGAAAAACAAAATTAAAATTCCCTCCTGGTTCTAAAAGTCTATATTGCTGAATGTGCTACTGACATAGCAAAAGGGTATCCTCATATACTACACAGGCATCAAGAAACTCCCTTCCTCATCTATCCTCAAATACCAGAAACGCTTGCTTTTATCATCTATAAATGTAAATAAAATATTAACTATTGCAGGAGCAGAAGAAACAGCACACAACCCATGATACAACTTTTTGCAACACTTACCTTTTCATGAATTGCTGTCTGCTTATGGTTAAAATAGTAACATTATCTTTATTCATATATCAAGTTATTAATGGGACAGGAGATAAATCAGAAAAATCATGACGGTACCATTCTCAGTATAATTATTGTGTTAACTAAGGCATATCATAATCTCTTGAGGCATAAGGAATCAACAAGAAAGAGAAGGAAACCACCTCCACAGAGATATAATTTTACAAAATCAAAAAAACCCTATAGAACAGTAACACAAACCTAACAAAAGAAAAAACCACCACCACCACCACCACCACCACTAGCGCCGTCACCGCCATCACCATTACCACTTCTTATTAGACTGCCAAAAAAAGAAGAAAAAAGATCATTTCTACATATACAGCTGTCTTGGCAAATATTATTTTGAAGGAAAAGGGGAGAAGAACCAATTATTTAGAATATCCCTGCTACAACTACATATCAATTTAACTCCAAGTAATATTGCTAAATAACCTCCTACTAAATTTAAGCTGCAATTAAGCCTTTCCTCCTAAGAAAGTAAAAATATCTGCCAAGAGAGCTTAAAGACTAGCGAATGCATTTTTTCAAGGCTTGAAGCAAATGAGGTCTTTATGAAAATTAAGATACAGACAAGAGAACAGAAATACAAAATAATACTGCTAAGTTGTCAAAACAAAACTGAATAAAGACACATTTATAATGGGCTTGGGGTGAATTAAAATAATGATTTCTAACACCCCATCCTTTTTTTAAATTTTTATTTTTACCTGAAGTCGTATTTGCAGCATCTTGGCTCTTGCCATGACGATCTGCTTCTAGCCATTGGTACAAAACTACATAATGTAACAGAAACAAAAAAGCTTTATGAACAAAGAAACAAAAACAAACAAAAAGCAAAACATGACCTTAAAGAATGGAAAATGAGAATAAAAAATTAAACAAAAGCAATTAAACAGAAGACATTAATACCAATAGAGTATAGCTTAATGTCCATGGAATGTAGCTTATAAGCTATTAGTAAATAAGAAAGCAAAGAGAATAGGTAATTTTAATGAAATAAGTGAAATGATACTAAACATCTATAAGTTATTTCCATGGGGAAAAGCACACATATTCTTATCTTAATGCTAGTTTGAAAAGAAGTATCAGGAGAAAGCTAATATTTCTATAGACAGATATAACACAGGTTGAGTATCCCTTATTCAACATGTTTGGAACCAGAAGTGTTTTAGAGTTCAAATTTTTCCAGACTTTAAAATATTTGCATTATACCTACAGGTATAATCTGAAATCTGAAAATCCCTAATGTGAAAATCTGAAATCTGAAACACCAGTCATAATGTTGGTGCTCAAAAGGTTTTGGATTTTGTAGCGTTTTGGATTTCAGATTTTTGGATTAGGAATGCTCAATCAGTAAAGTATGACAGTAAGACTATATGATCAACTTTAAAAATTACATCCCAACCACTGTGTACCTATTAGAATGGCTAAAGTACAAAAAACTGACTATACCAAATGCTGATAAGGATGTGAAGTGATAGGAACTCTCATTTGTTGCTGATGGGAATGTAAAATGGTACATCTACTTTGGAAGACAGTTTGGTAATTTCTTACAAAGTTAAACATAGTCTTATCATAGAATCATCAGGAGAAAAACATCAAATTCCAAGAGGAGCAATCTATCATATACCAAGTACTTGTCACAACTGTCAAGGACATCAGAAACAAAAAAGTCTGAGAAACCATCATAGCCAAGAATAGCCTACAGAGACACGACAACTGACATAGATGGGATCCCTAGACAGAAAAGGGGCATCAAGACCAAGCAAATCTGAATAGAGCATAGACTTTAGATAACAATAATGTATCAATATTGATTCATTAATTGTATAATAACAAATGTACCATATACTACTATAAGATGTTAATGATAGGGGAAACTGTGTGTGTTGAGAGAAAGGGGATACATAGGAACTCTATTAATCTCAATTTTTCTGTAAATCTAAAATCGTTCCAGGAAAATAAGTATATTTTAAAAACTAAATTCCAATATTTAAGGTAAATACACATACATATATTATATTCAATCTTATAAGTAAGCTACCTTTTGTGCTTCTCTATGGAAATACAAGCTGAAATTTGCTCTGTACTGAGATCCCATTAAATCAATTATCTTCAGCACTATTAACTATGAAGTGTCAATGCTTAGAGGGAAGTTTACAACTATAAGGACACAGGCTGATAATAAATTCACAATAGAGCTCTGTAACTGAACAGCTTTGAAGGGTGTGAAAACTTCTGGATGTCAGGAGTTTAAGGCAACAGAGAGCTATGATTGTTCCACTGCACTCCATCCTGGGCAACAGAGTGAGACCCTGTCTCTAAAAAAATAAAAATTTAAATTTAAAAATTAAAAAAAACACCCACAACTACTGGATATCTCTTACTGGTTACCCAGATGTCTATAACTTTTAGACATCTTTAAAGAGATGGCAGAGTTTTTCCTTTAAAAAGTCAAATAATGATAATGTCAGGTATCAATGGCCAGAAAACCTCCTATGCAGACCCCCAGGTCTGAACGATCCCAGGATAATAACAATGGCTAAGCTTCTATTCTGGGGGGCTATCTACATATAGGTATTGTGAGAGCTCTATGTCCCAAGCAAGGTTTGCAGAAACTTTTCATGCCCTCACCCCACAAAAACAACAACAAAAACAAAGGGTTGGGAAAGTTGCTTATAGAATTCCTGAACTGGAAGAATAAACAAATCACAAATGTCTAAGGGCACCCTGAAATCATCAAAGTAGTTATTTGGACCTCTAGGGACAGCCAGGGCTGTGAACTGACATCCACTCTCACGGACAGAAGGCCCCAAAGAGATCTCCAAACAAACATCCAATATGCAAGGTCCCTGGCTGAGGGGGCTCCAATGAGCACACAAGTACACTCCTCCAGAGACATACAGAATACTAACACTTCTGGGAGACAAACAATTGGTATAATTGGGACTACCTTGAAAGAATTTGTGAAGTAGACCTCACTCATTAAACATATACTACAGGTATTTTTCCTCTTTCTAGTTTACAGGAATGACAACTACCATTAGAGGAGAGTAGTAGGAGAGGAGAGTAGTGGTACACCATGACACAAAAATCTCCCTCTTTGGAAAAGCAAGTGTGAACTTTACAATGGACACTGAAAATCACTTTTGCAAAATTGAGTCACAGGCTGGGAGCGATGGCTCATACCTGTAATCCCAGCACTCTGGGAGGCTGAGGCAGGCAGATCACTCAAGGTCAGGAGTTCAAAACCAGCCTGAGCAAGAGCGAGACGCCTGTCTCTACTAAAAATAGAAAGAAATTAATTGGCCAACTAAAAATATAGAGAAAAAATTAGCTGGGCATGGTGGCACATGCCTATAGTCCCAGCTACTCGGGAGGCTGAGGCAAAAGGATTGCTTGAGCTCAGGAGTTTGAGGTTGCTGTGAACTACACTGATGCCATGGCACTCTAGCCTCGGCAACAGAGTGAAATTCTGTCTCAAAAAAAAAAAAAAAATTGAAACCCCCCACTGCTAAATTTGACTGGCTTAAAAAAAAAAAAAAAAAAAAATTGAGACACAAATTAGGGAAACTATTCCATTAACTGGTCTAACAATTCTGGCCAGCTTCTATCTTAACCTTATATTCTGCCCTGCTTAATATGAAAATTCTTGGCTACATTCAAGTTATCACCAGGAATATTTACCAATAGTTCCAGTTACTTCATATAGCCCTAATTTCTGGTTTTATCAGAGAAAGCTGAGACAAGAAAACCCAAAAGTGTTTCCAGGTTGCCTCCAGATTAAAAGCCCAATTAACTATAGTTTAAATAATTCAGAAAATTTCCAGTAAAATAAGTACATCTGCTTTATGCAAAGCTATAATGTGAATCACAATTTGACAAAATTTGGATTTCATAGTCTACTTTATAGTACGTATATTTAAAAAGATAATGTATAATTAAAAAAGCAATGATTGAGGGTAGAGGCAGTTTTTTACTTAACATACTAGAATGTACATGGGCAGATATGGAAAGACTGAACTTCAAAAATTTCTCAATCCTCATAAAATATCTAAAACATGTCATAGTAAAGGGGTCTGCTACTATGTTTGCAGATGACAGTAGAATGCCAAGAATACATCTCTTCTCACTATGTGAACAGAGATCTGGCCTTTTGTTAGCTTCATGTTTCTTCCCAATTGGCACTGGAAGTTGGGACCCCACCCCCAGCTCCACACCACTGATACAGGTTTCTATAGCCTGTCCACGGGGATGGGGTTGCAAGAAAAGAGATATTTGTCAAATTTGTGAAACTTGGAGCTACTTTTCATCAGCCTGAGCAGCGCTGTTACATGTTTTTTCACTCACTCCCTTCCCCAAACCTTCCCACTCCAAGGACCCTAGCAAGTTAGTTCCCTCCCTCACTATCCATTTCCATCACAGCCTGTTCTGACCAAGGTCTTTCTCCACACAACAAGGCCAAGTCTCCCAATATTTCCCTAGCCTACTATTCCTAACAAATAACCACAAAAGTCTAGATATTTTAAATTAAGTTTGCTTCTGGGTAGGGATCAAATGACTAGTTCCTGCCAATGAAACGTGAGCAGAAGTGATGTGTGTCACTTCCAGGACGAAGCACACAATCTGTGTTCTGCTATCTACGAACAAAATGCAAATGAGGCCTTGCATGATGGAACGTCACAAAATGGAAGAAAATTGGGTCACTAAATGTCTTTGCAAAGTAGAGTCTTTCCCCCTTGGCCTACATTGGACTAAATGTGAATGAAAAATAAACTTTTATTACCTCAAGCCACTGAACTTTGGGGTTATTACAGCAGTTAGCTATTTATGTGTTTCTATATTAGCCCAAGTTTTTATTTATTTTAGTTTTGGCTTTCTGACAATAATACTAATCCCTGACTATACTGTGCCTTCTACTGCTGCAGCCCCCAATCCTCAGACCACAGCCCAGTACCAGGTCTCCGCCTGTTAGGAACTGGGTAGCATGCGCATCACTGCCTGAGCTCCGGGCACTCTCCACACACCCCCAAATCCCCTCCACTCTCCACCCATCACTGGAAAAATTGTCTTCCATGAAACCAGTCTCTGGTGCCAAAAAGGTTGGGGACTGCTGTACAGGTACCACTCTACATTGCTTATTACATGTTTAAATACGTAATGAGTATAGTTCATCAAATATAGGACAATATTCACCCATGTTTTATGGATGTTCTCTACCTTGCATAGAAGAAGCCACACATCCAATATACTAAGCTACTTACCAAGACCACAGGTTCTAACCCACTCTTAGTCTGTTAACCTTTCTAAACACACAACTTCCAAATCCAATGAGCCAACTTGCAGGTCTAGGCTGATGATAGTCGTGAAAGGAATCAAGCAAAAGAACCTGGAGGGATCCCTGCAAATCCATTGACCCTACTGAGGAATATTCAGTAATAAAGAAAATTAAATCCTGGTAATCTTAAAAGTTAATTTTAATTAATATTTTAGTATTAAATCAACAACAATTCAATAAGTTTTGAATTTTTAAGAAATTCACAGTATCTTTCCTCCTGATTACATCAAATTTAAAGATCCGTGGTGTATTTGGCTAACACTCAATAAACTTCAATTACTGAAATTTATTCACTGAAAACCATAAGTATACAATAAATTAATAGTTACAGTGTTTCAATTCCAACTGGATGTACTGCAATTCTATTCTCTCACTAACCACCCAAAGTGAGCACACACCCACAAGTTAAAGAGCAGGATCCCCAATAAAGACTGC